CATGCCCCAAGTGTTCATGTCACAAACAGTTTGACTCAAGCAAGTAAGTACAAATAAAATATTGATTTTGAAAAGCTCTCTGCGAGGTAGCTTTTTCTCACAAATATTTTGTTCCGCTTTCTTACAATTTTGTGTGATAAAACACTATTTAAAGTCATCACCTTGTCAAATGTCCTTTTCGGAAGGACCTTTCCATAACTTTCAATTTGAGTGTTATAGAACTATCCATGAACAAAGTTTCATCGGGTCCAATATAGGCAATATAGTCCAAATGCTTCTTTTACAAAACATGACAAATGACTATTCACCAATATTCATGTCTATACAAATAGTTATATTTAATAGACATATCTTTTCATGAAAAATCACAACATTTTAAATGACACTTTTTTCATAAAAGAACTCAATCATTTTGAACAAGTATACATATAATTTGGTAGTTTCATACTAATCATACCATATACTAGTAAACGAGAAACTGAAATACCACAATATCAAATATACTCCAAGAATTTTGTGGGACTAACATAATACAAAAGTATCATCGAATTTCATATCTTGTGCTCCAAATTTAAATTAGACACTAAGTCTAATTTTATCTTTGTCATAAGCAAAAACCCCCACATTTTAAATATGATCTACAAAATATTTTTCAAGTATTTGAAAATAGTTTTTCCACATATTTTTTTTCCTCATGCTATCAAAGTGTCATTGGCAACATGAAACCACTTTTGAAAATATTATTCTACAAAAGAATTATAGTGCTTCAATTTCATTTGACAATTTTTACACAATGTCAAAGTTCATTCCATAGAGGCACAAAATCACAAACTCTAAGTCACTGGTATTTTTCCTCTATCACAAATAGACATACCATTTAGTATTTAAAATACTAACAATAAAAACAAATTTTTTTGTACAATTTGTTTCTGTATAACAATGAAGTTTATAGAAAATCAAAAGTACAACTTTGACGTATTATGTGAAGTTTTCATATTCTTCAAACCAATTGCATAGTCTAATTTATCCAGAGTAGAAAACTACAAAAGTTTTTAGTCTACAAAAATCATACACAATCAAATTTCACATGGAGTACAAAACTACAAAAGTTTTTTTCCGTCTCCAAACAAAATTGAACATATTCATAGATTATCACATAAATATGCTTTTCTTTTCAAATAGCCTTCCAACTATAACATTTTGACATACTATTTAATCAAACAAAAATGTGCATCTCTCATTCTGCAAACTAAAGAATTTTAAAAGCAACGCTTTTTGCCAAGGAAAATTCATTCAAAAAGATCTTTTCCAAAGACATACATGATAAATATCAAAAATGTTAACTTTTAGAAACTATTTTCCTCCTTAGATAAATAATAAGAAGGCTACTTGGTGTAATCTTTAACCGAAATACCACCAATTTTTCTAGTACATTCTAACTTCGACCTTACTAAACAAAGCACTGAATTCTGGAGAAGTAATGCATTAATCTTCTACTTCCATGATCTGTTTCTCTCAATCAGTAGAATACAAGAAATACCAACAGTATAGTAATTTCCTTTAAGATTGTTGTTCATCTTGTATTCCTAAGATATTTAGAACAAAACTTTGAAGAACTTGGTAAGAAACAACAAAGTTTAAAGAGTATTTTCAAACTAAAAAATTAAAACTAGTAGAGAAAATAGAATCAGAAACAAATTAGAAACAATATAAAAATATTTTTCTCAAAGAAAGAAAATCGATCCCACTGAATGCACAGTGTCTCCTTCAGGAAATTATTCCCCTCAAGTACCCAAAGTTAATGGAATATATCCTCCCAGGATAGAACGATCGTACTCACCGTGTATCGGTACCTAAAATCACGGTGTCAGCGAACCACTCAACGACAGTAACTTACACTTAGAATACTAGATTTAATAGTAGTGGAAGAAGTCCAGAAAAATTAGTTCAACTAAAATGAGAGGAAATCCCTCAATTTATAGAAAATAAAGGGTAGTGTGGAAATGTTCTTATTGTGCCTTACCGGAAAATCACAATCTTTCATAAAAGTCACAACTTTTCATAAAAGTCACAACTCTTCATAAAAGTCACAACTAAAGTCGCAACTTTTCATAAAAGTCGCAACTTTTCATAAAGGTCACAACTCTTCATAGAAATCACAACTTTTCATTTTCCATTTGTATCTTTTAATACAACAAACTTTTCTATGGAATGAAAGATCATTCATACATAGCAAAGGTAATACCCCACAGTAGATTAAAAAAATGAAGTGAATTCTGACACTCTCCAAAATTACAAGACAAAAAGTAAGAACAAAGATTCTGCCGAGAAATTTCCAACAACGCGAAGCTAATGAGAGTCATTAGCAGATTTAAGCATATTATGAAAGTCCACCATTACTATCCTTCTCTTGGACTCTCTTTGCTCTGCTAATCTTTCCTCAAATTTCCTTTTGCTTGATTCAATTTTCTTTGTATTACTAATGCTTTGTGTATCTTTTTGCATTGGTCTTGTAATTGAACTGCAGTTGCTCTGTTTCTGAGGTGAACAATCAGAAAGTTGTTTTTGATGAGCAACTTCTACAGGCTTAGTGGCCACAGTCATCTTCATCAATGGCAGAGGCGGCGGCATGCTCTTTGCATTAACACTACTCCGTTGGGTAGGGGTCTGTTGTGATCCTCCTCCTCTCTTCTTTTCTGTATTAACACTCTGTTTCTGGATTTTCTTGAAAGAAGAGAGCTGTTTTTGACGAGGAGCAACTCCCACACGTTTGGTGGACATGTTCGACATCCTCTTTCTTGATGGCATAGTAGTAGTATTATGGGACTGGGGTGTTCCTTGTTTATCAGCAGTATCCAATTGTTGTTCACTCTCCGATCTTTTCTTCAACTCCGTCATGCTTTCTTTAATTGCATTGCAATTGTCCTTTGTTTTCGGCGGAGCAACTTTTACGGTCTTATTGATTGCCACTTCAATCTTCTTCATCAAGCTTTGGGCATGAATCTCTTCTTCTTTTTCTTCATCACCGACACTCACTTCTTCTACTTCATCATCAAGAATGCAGTCGTCTAATGCTAATGTGGAATCGGAACTTGATTATCCTATTTTTGCGCTTTTTGAACTGTGCGGGATCCTTTGATGCCCCAACTTCGAGAGCAGCTTCTATTAAAGTGAATATATCATGAGGCTTTTTCTCAATAGAGAAACAACTCAGGAACACTGTTTCAATTTCCATTCCTCTTACACTACTCTAACAAAGAACAAGAACAAAAACAAAAGATGAACAATTTATGAAAGTTTAGAAACAAGAAAAATATATGTGATATTGTTTAGCAAAGTGTGCGCTTTTATAAGAGAAATTTAGAAACTTTGTTTTACCCGTGTATTTTCGGAAATGGAAAGTTTTCCTTTTCCCGTACAAGGTTGGAGATACGTTTGGTAACTCACAAATTTAGTACTTTCTCCGTTTAAAAAAGAATGACCTCCTTTCTTTTTTAGTCTGTTTAAAAAATAATGATCTTTTTTCTTTTTTTATAACATTTTAATTTCAGCTTTCCACGTGACATGTTTAAAGCCACAAAATTGAAGGGAAATTTAGTACATTTGACATAACTTTAATTTAGGATCACAAGATTCAAAAATCTTCTTTATTTTCTAAAACTTCGTGCCAAGTCAAACCATGTTACTCTTTGTGAAACGGAGGAAATAACTTTTTACTTTCTTCAAGCTCAAGTAATCATAAAATTTACAATGGAATACGGATAATGATCTATTTCTTTTGTCACTTACAAAAAACTACCATTTCACATGTTACAATATTTAGTTCAAATGTGATTTTTTTTTATATAAAGATAAAACTTAATTTTATTTTTTTTATAAATAAATTAATATTTAGGATTTTAACAGATTTTTTCACTTTAGTTTTCTACAATACTCCCCTAAACGTATAAGTTATCTTCGTTTATTTTTACTTATCATGTTTCACTTTTTGAGCGTCAACTTTGACCAACATCTCTGCCATACTAAATAACGAAATAATAAAACGTTATTCACAGTACCGTTATATACTTTTACTTACCCCGTCAATTATTAAATTTTCCTTGTTAGAATTTATGAATAAAAACATGTAAACTTTTGATTCTTCTCTCCATGATCATTAACTCTTCATCTTTGCTTTGTTCTTTTATGAAAAAGTTTTAGTAAAATCCTATCACTAATATTAATTTGTCTATCATTATAATATTATTTAATAAGTATATATAATAAATAATGTTTAATATAAATAATAATACAAAAGACGAATAAATGAATTCTTTTTGAATCTGCATCTTAACTGACATAATAGGAGAGAAAAATTAACCCTAAGGAATGATTAAAACTATTTCTCTTTCTAAATTTTTTTCGAGCTTGAATGGACGGAATACTTATTGGAGTTTTACTACGAATGTTGAGCCAAACTTTGATTACAGTCGAGGTATGCAACTCACCAGTGGCGAAGCCATAAATTTCACAAAAAGTGTCCAGAAATAACACAATATAATCTATTTTCAAAAAGTAGAACTAGTGAAATTTGAACATACAAGCACTATCTCATTCCAAGAAGGTAAAACCATTGGGCCACAATAGCTTGTTGTGTTAACGGTGTGCAAAATATATTATTTACTTGTATACACGGTATTTTTTTTCCGATGAAGGGTGTCCAATTTGGACACCCTTGACCACCATGTTGCTACGCCACTGCGACTCACCACTTGGAGACCAAGACTTATTGGTTTGCGGATAACTGGCAGATCATCACCGAAAGAGTTGAGCTTCTCTGTGTATTTCTTTTTTCTTCTTCCTTCAGTCGTATAAAGACTCTTTTATATTGGCACGAGCTAGGGCTTGAGCGTACTTTGATCTTCAAGTAATTCTAGCGAATCTTTTGGGCTTGAAGAGGATGGGTTGAGCTCGTCTTGTCAACGTAAGAGACTGCCGCAAATGTAATTGGACTCCAGTCATACAGTCTAACTATGCATAGATGAAAAAGTGCATAAATACAAACAGAGAGGTTGCAAAATGCAACTCTGAGAATCCACTTTACTCTTCTAAACAAATTACTGAAAGTTGCACTATATTACAGTAAGTTCACTTTTGCAATGTTAAAAAAGCATAAATATTTTATATACACTGCTTATTACAACAGGAAAAGTAAATTGCTTTCAAGTCTGATGAAGGATCAGAGAAAGATTATTTACACAGAAATTGGAAGGAGAGTGGAGCTCTACGTCCTTCAAGCGACTAGAGGGAATTTCGCCTTCCATAGGTCCTAGTGACAGCTCCAGACTGATCAGAAATCTGATTTTTCTCCTTTTCCTTTAGTGAATGTACCATCCAACAACCGTCCCTCCAATATGTATAGAATACTTCAGGGATATGTGAAACTTTCCAAGCATCAGCACCTAGTTTTTCTGGACGCAATGTCATGATAAATTCATCAGGCATGTCAAAAAATTCAAGAACCTTCAGATTTAGGAGGTACTCGATTCCAGTTGGCACAGTTTCAAGCAAAGCACATCTCTGGATAACCAGCTTCTCAAGATGAGGTACTGCACCTTCGCCGATTGTCACCTGCCTTAGTCCTTCCAGCTTGTCCAAATTTAAAAGCTTAAGCCTTTGAAATTTCCCTTGCTCAAAGTAGAGTTCCTTTCCTGTGTATCCTACAAGAAATTCAAGATGGACAAGATTGGGCAAATCTTGTAGATATTTCAGTGGATCTTCTGTTAAATGAGTCCACCTGAAGTAAATTTTGACCAAGGAATTAAGATCTTGAATCCACGCAGGCAACATAACAATGTGTCCTGTCAAATACAGGCGCTGAAGAAGAGGCGGAGGAGACGACAGATAAGAAAGATCAAGGATCTCATGCTCTTCCACTGATTTAAGATTTAAAGACTCAAGCTTGTGGAGCTTTTGAATTGATGAGCACACAGTCCAACCATCTTCTTTTCTCAACTTCAGAATACAAAGTCGTCTCAGTTCACCCAACATTCCTACTTCTTTAAGTATGCCACTGCCAGGGGTTGCCTCAATATACACAAGTTTCTGCAAGGCTCTCAAAGCTCCAATTCCTCGGAAAGCCTTAAAACCTGGTGAACAATTGTAAGGAAGATACGAATAGGATACGTGGCTATAGACTAAAAGGTGACGGAGATTTTCAAGTTTTAAAATCTCCACAGGCAACTCAGTGACATATGTCTGCTTCAGATCTAATATTTCTAGCTGTTTGAGTCTTCCAATGGATCTTGGAAGCACTTTCACATTGGTATTCCTCAAGCTTAAATACCTTAAGTGAAACAATTGGAAGACTGTCTCTGGAATCATATTTAGAGGAGCTCCTCTCAAATCTAAAACTCTTAGCATCCGGGAGCTACCAAGCACTTGACTTATGCAAGACAAGGACTGTGGATCTGCTACACCAAATGTAAGCAAAGAGCGAAGTTTAGTGACTGACCTTTTCACTTGTAGGTTGCCCAACATGCCATGCATTGACAGCCATCGAGTTTTTTCAGGCCACAATTTATTATGCTCATCCACTGTTGCAGTGAAGTTATCATCTCTTGATTTTGAAAGAATAAGCTCGCGGTATAAATCATGAATCCTACCCAATTTCATGCTACCGTCATCATTGTACTGCACTGGATGGATCAAGCTTCTGTTGATGAGCTCATTGAGATAGCTGTCTGCAACGTCTTCAACTGTCCTCCGTACTTTTTGTTTTACAAATCCTTCCGTTATCCACCGGTAGATCAGTGTATTGCGCTCAATTAGATGATCCTCAGGATAGATACTCAAATACAGGAAACATGGCTTAAGATAGTAGGGGAGATCATTGAAACTGAGTAACAAAACTATTCTCATACTCTCAAATTTGTCATTGCTATCCAGCTCAGGACCAAGGCTGTGATTAAGCATTCCCCATTCCCTAATGTTGTTCCTGTTCTTTGTAGCCAAAACCCCACCAACGGCCACAACAGCCAGCGGCAGTCCACCACATTTTTTCAAGATGTTCCTTGAAATGCTCTCCAAGTGTGAAGGACATGAATAACCATGAAATGCCTTTTGGCAGAAAAGAATCCATGACTCTTCAGTAGACAAGGGTTTCACCTCATAAACATAGCCATTGGTCTCTATGCTACAGAAGGAAGCCACATCCAAAAGACGTGTTGTGAGGATAACACGACTTCCATTATTTACATCAGGCAATGCATGTCTGATAGCTTCCCAAGCTTGAATGGTCCAGACATCATCAAAAACTAGCACATACGTTCTCGATTGGAGGAATACTTTTGCTATTGTTTTTAGCCTGTTACTACTCATGGTGTTTAGACCTTCAGGTGCTGGCTGCTTCACTTCATCATAGAGCTGTTGAATCATATCTTTCAAAACTTCCTCAACCTTGAAGGACTTGGAAACTGTTATCCAAGCAAGGCTACTGAAGTTTTTCTTGACTGCTGCATCCTCGTACACTTTCTTAACCAGGGTGGTCTTTCCTGAACCTCCCATCCCCACCACTGAAACCACTTTAAGTCTAGGATCATCCTCCACGAGCCAACCGATTAGCTGCTGTGTGGGATTTTCAATGCCCACAAGCTCAGCTTCTTCTAACAATAATGCATCACCTCTGCGATCATTTGCAGTATCGTAGGCATGGTTAGAATATGAACCTTGCTCCGGGACATAAAATTTGTAACGGTACCTATGATGGCCCATTGCAATATTGTCAACTCTTGATTTGATGGCTTGGATTTCAATGACAAGTTTATGGCGGAATTTGATGTTTCTGATTGAGAAAACCAATTTAGCAATGAAACAACAAGATCCACGGTAGTGATGATCATACGACAAGAGCATGGACTCATCAAGAACATCCTCAATGTCATTGGCGACATCTCTCACTTGCCTAACCCAGACTTTGACCTCAGCATCTCCCTCTTCGAAAGCATCAGCCACACCAAGAAAGGCAATCATTCTCTCTAATTCATCTTTGATATACTGGATATCATGCTTGACTCCCTGAAGCAATATTGCTTCTTCCGCTAATAAGTTTGTGAGTTTGTCAAGTAAGAAAACGACAGCACAGTCTGCCATCTCTACCTGATCTTCACAAGTGTCTATGCTCATCTCTTTTTGTAATGAAAATAAGAACCGCCCCATCTTCCTGGTAAATTCTTATGAAGAGGCAAAACTCAAAACAAAAACAAGTCAATCTGGGAATATTCTATATTGTGGTCCCCTGATTTAGTCACTGAAGCTGCACTCCTTATGCATTAAGAAGACCTTGGACAGACTAGAGTAGAAATTTCAGAACAATTACTCAGAAAGGTTTAGCAAACACAAGTAATTAGGTCAAATTACAAGGAACTTCTCTGGAAATTTTGGGAACTCCTTATTAAACTAATAGCTAAACTTACTCTGGCTGTCTTCTGCCAGAGTTTGACTCAACAAAACGATATATTATTTTTGTTTGGTAAAGTCCCACGTTGGAATAAAATACTCTCTAATAAGGCGACTCCGTATCCAAGAACTTAAACTCAAGACCTTTTGATTAAAAATGAGGGAGTAGTTATCTCTGCACCACAACTCTAATCCGTAACAAAAGGATATAGATAGAAGCTTAAGATGAAAACTTACTTAATCTGATGGAGCAGCTCTTCTTCTAGGTTACCAAAAACTAGCAGAGGGAGAAGAGATAGCAGACATGATGATAAGTATGTGGCTCCAAATGTTACCTTAGTTGGTATGTGTCACAAAGTCAAGACAGTTTCAAGTGATGAAGAACATTGAATATTCTCAATTGTTGAGTGGGAAAATGACTCATCACCAATTCTATGTTTTTTTTTGAGATAAGTGTCAAAAACACACCTAAACTATACCCTTTTTTAGTTTCATACCTAAACTATTGAGAGTGTGAGTTTCATACCTAAACTATCACTTTTTAGTTTGAGAAACACACCTCTGAGGTGTGTGTAATGCACTCTCTCTTTTATTTGAAAAATCTTTGACACATGACATTCCACATAGATAAAATATTCCACCTTAACAAAAATTAAATAATAAATTATTAATATTAATAAAAAAATTAAAGTATTACCATCCCCCCAATATATATATATATTTTTTTTAAAATTAAATTATTTGTCTTACCCCATTCCACCACCTCCTCCCCGTACCCTCCCCCCCAACAATCCCCGTCCTTTTTTTAGAAAAAAAACCACTCACTCATTCCCCAAAAAAAATTATATTATTTTATTTTTAAAAAAAATTCTACCCCATCCTATTTAACCCTCCACTTCTAATTTATTTATTTATTTTACATTTTTTTCGTTTTGTATTATATATGTACATATATTTCTAGGATTATTTTTTTACTTGTGTACCGTATATAACATAAATAAAAAAATTATTTTAAAAAAGTCTTGCGGCGGCAAGTAACAAATATTTTTGATATATATATATGTATGTATGTATATGTAACACAAAACGAGAAAAGAAATTGGAAGCGGAGGGTTATGTGACTAGTGGATAGAATTATTTTTAAAAAAATTAAATAATATCTAAATTAGAATTGGAAGGGGGGATGAAGTAAAAAAAATTATTTATAAAAGAAATTTAAACAAACAAAAAAATGGGTCAGGGGGGTGGGGGGTGGAGGGAGAGGAAGTGATGGAGTGTGGGGTAAGAAAAATATTTTACTTTTTTATTTTATAAAATAAATAAATTGGATATTAATTTTAATCTTTAATTTTAACTAATACTAATAATTTATTTATTTTTTGTCAAAGTGAAATGTTTTGTCCATATGGAGTGTGGTGTGACAATTTTTTAAAATAAAAGAGAGAATGTATTACACACACCATGGTGAGAGTGGTATAAAAGAGAGAGGTGTGTTTCTCAAACTAATAAGTGATAGTTTAGGTATGAAACTCACACTCTCAATAGTTTAGGTATGAAACTCAAAAAAGAGGTATAGTTTAGGTGTGTTTTTGAAACTTATCTCTTTTTTTTTACAAATAGTAAGTATAGAAGTTGACAGACACTTTTAGTGGCATTTGCAAATAATGTGTATGTACATGTAAATGATTTGACATCTCATTATTTAGTCAATCAAGTGACCAGTAAACTAGTTTAGAACTAGTAAAGTACAATATCAAAATGAGCTCAAGTAGAAGCAAATGAACTGAGTTGGTTAGAAAGAGCTATACTACTAATGTGTCTAGGCGATTTTTCAAACGCAAATTGAGATTTAGTCCGTCCTAATATAGAAAATGCAAAAAGAGAAGAAGGAGATTTGACCATAAAAACAAAAGAAAATTATTATTTTTAGAATTTTTAAAGTTGAAATTAGAGTTGTGTTTAATCATTTTTTAAAAAATAAATAGAATTTGGATGTATTTTAAAAAAAATATATGGTTTATACATAAGTTGGAATTTTTTGAAGTTAGAATTGAAAATAAAGTTGCGATTGATTACCGCTTGTAAATAGTATTTGGTTGTTGGAATGTACTTTTTCTTAAACAAACATGAAATATAATTCAAATGCGCTTATTTTTTTTATTATATAAAGATAACAAATTTGGAAAAGAAAAATATAGTGACAGTGAAAAAGATGAATTTTCAAATACAACTAAAATTGCATATATAATTTTCATGGCCAGCGGTTGTTTTTCAAGTATAAAATGAAAAAAATTTCATTGCCAAACATATATATCATCTCCCTTCGTATAAACAACAATAGTTGTTAGAGGCTAAGTTGAAAGAGAAAATCATTATAAATAGCTATCACTGTAGTGTGCACGGGTCCTACCCCGAACCACAATAATTTATTATATACAATCTTATTTTGCCAAAGACGATTTTCACATCTCAAACTTAAGAGCTCCTAATCATATGAAACCAACTTTACTCTTATCCAAAACTCCCCTTCTTTAGATACATTTATTCCTTCCTAAAGTTACATGACAACAACGAGGAGTCATGAACAAGCGCAAAGGCTTGAAATTCACCCACTCATTCGAAATGAGCTACTAATTTGGAGTACAAGCGCGAAGGCATGAGACGGGAATGTCTTCACCATTTGATATTGCATTATAAAGAGCTTCTATTGCATCAATAGTGGAAATGAGATTTACTTTCCCTTTTCACCTTTTTTCTTAATTATGGAATTAAAGTTATATAAAAAATGAACCGACAAAGTGTTTGTTCACGAAAATTGTTATAGTTTCTATAGTTCAGTTGTGCCTCTCACGGTTGAATGTGAATTTTTTTTTAATGCATTTTTTCTCTACAAAATTTATGACAGTGATAATTATACGAGAAACGTATGAACTAGAAAGAGTACTTACCAATCTACTCCATCAATTTGTATCAAGGAGAAGAGATACCAGACATGATAATATTATTCTTCTAATTTGTGTTTGAAATCCTAGCATAGGTTCAGCAGGGGCGGCTCAACATAATTTGTGGCCTAAAGCGAAATTTTTATTAGAGGCCTAAAATCTATATAAATTTTATCTATATCTATTTATTTTTCTAAATTTCTAGATGTAAATTACTACTTAATATCTTTTATATAAATGATTTTTCAAACACTTTTTTTTTTAATTATTAGTTTTAAGTAAGATTTTATCAATTCAACATTGAAAAACATCCTTTTATTGAGACAATTATTATATGAATTATTAACACAATTTTATAAGTAATAAGTTGATAAACTTTAAGGGGTCGTTTGGTTTGAAAATGAGTTATGATGGGATAAGTTATGTTGGGATAAGTTATGTTGGGATTAGTTATGATGGGATAAGTTGTGTTGGGATTATTTTTTATTGAGTGTTTGGTTTGTTATATTCAAAATAATAAATTTTAAGAACAATTTATTTATTTACAAAAATGCCCTTCATTAAGGTAAAAAGTGATACAACAAAAGGGTTGAAAGAGACATTTTTGTCATTTACCTATTTTATCCCGGGATAAGTTATCCCGGGATTACTATACCACCCAAGGAGAGGGATAACTTATCCCGGTACTAATTATTAATCCCGGGATAAGTTATCCCGAACTTGCCTAATAATTTGTAATGCACTTTGTTCAACAATTTTCAACTATTGATTCATATTTTTGAGAGTGTATTACTCTAACTATCAAAGATTTGAAGAAATAGAGTGCAAAAAGAGTTACAAAGGATAAATAATATGAGTGTTAACGAAGAAAATGTAAGAATCCAAAACAATGTTTCCTTAATTTCTTCTATTTGAATGGGGTTAAGATACATAATTTTTTATTTATAAAAAATTGAGGCCCCCAATTTACCAATGCCTAAAATTTTATAGGCAAGAGCCGGCCCTGAATTAGGTTGGTAGTTGGTAATGTGTCACAAAGTCAATGCAGGTCAAATGATCAAGAACATTGAACATAGAAGTTTACATGCACTTTAAGTGGCATTTGCAAATATTGTTTGTCTATATATGAATGATTTGATATCTCATTATTTAGTCAATCAAGTGATCTAAAAACTAATTTAGAACTAGTATAGTAACAATATCAAAATGAGCTTAAGTGGAAGCAAATGAACTGAATTTGTTTTTTAGAAAGAGTTTTACTCCTAATGTGTTGGGAGGCTTTCCGGTGCAATATGAATAGATAGTCACATAATATCATAGATAAAATCTCACATACGAGCTATTACATATTATTATTTCTTATAATAATATACATCATATATATTATTTTTTACGAATAATTTTAAACATCTTATAAATATTTTCATCAAGATTTATTTAAAATATTTATTTATGAAGCAAAAAAGCTCCAAGCAAAAAGTATTCTGAACAAAAACTATTTTGAACATGAACGTTATTTTATTCTCCTTCCCCACCCTGTCTTTTGATTTTATTTTCATGTATGTTTAATAATCAAACCAAATCGATAGCAACCAAATAGATAAATGTATATTAAATCAGATTTGATTTTAATAATTTAAAAAAGAATTAAATTGATTTGATTTTAATTTTGGGCTAATAACTGACCCAAATGTCAATTTTCTTGCCAATAATTTCCTAGTTGTCTATCAAGAATTAAAAAAATCTCACAACCTTTCAATTGACCTGAATGCTATTGATATCTTTTGAATAACTAGTATACCTAAAACGGAGTAGAGTAACTTTGTGGCTATTCAGGCAATAATAAACTTTTGAATTGTATATAACATAACTTTAAAGCATGAATATAACATTATTTAGGGAAATTGCAATTATATTAAATTATTAAGTTAATCATTGAGATAATTTGCATATAGGAAACCCAAGATCAAATTAAAAATAGTAAATGCTACTACTGTCCATAATTTATTAGATGAAAAAAGAAGAAGATTCTGATGTAAAATTTACAATAAATTGAATTATGAGATAATCAAAATCTCTTTCTATTCCAGCAGTCATTAGCATGTTTAGGCATATCGTGAAAGTCCACCATTATAGTCCCTCTCTTGTCTTCCCTTTGTTCTGTCATCCTTTCCTCAAATTTCCTCTTGGTTGATTCAAACTTCATCTCTATGTTTTTGATACTTTGTATTTCTTTTTGCACTAATCTCACAATTGCAGAGCTTTGTGCTATTCTCTCGATTGGTTTTGTAATTGCACGACAATTGCTTTGTTTTTGTAGTGAGCAATTTGAAAGAAGTTGTTTTTTTATGAGGAGCAACTTGTACAGTTGGTTTCTGATTTGTAGGTGAAGTAATCTGATGTGTTTCTATGTCACTTTGTCTTTTTTTTCTCAAATTGTTTTTGCTTGATTACTTCATCTTCATCATCAACATCAAGAATC